TGCAGGTGATTGGTTTAAGGTTCACGAAGGCCTCATGGGAAAAGTGACTATTGTCACAAACAGCAGGTGTTGAACAAGCTGCAACATGTACATATATATATGGTCTGGGGCGATAAATGTGCTCTCATACATTTCTTTATCCATCTCCATCTATGTATTCTGGGTTTTTATATGGAGTTAAAATTATTAAATTACTGCTTTAATAGGAATGAATTTCTATTATGATGGCTTTTTACATTGCATATTTATTATGCGTACAATATTGTGAAATGGTGCTCTATGGATTTTATTAAGGACGTGACTTCTACAATTATTTAATCTACATGATTTACAAATTAATTTACCGTTTCAGAGGACCAAATAACCAGAATGCTTCTCTCAAAGTAAGTTACACAGTGTATATACAATGGAGCCAAAAAGTATTTGGTCACATAAGGCACACTTCCAAAATAGACCGCTGTTCAAAGGTTTGAGGTTGGTAAGACAGCAAAACGGTAAAATTGTGAAATACTGTTTTCTAATCAATGTAAAAGTATTTTCTAGTTTTGATCAAATTAATGCAACACTTTGTATTGCTAAAAGTGTTAAAAATCTTGCTGACTCCAAACTTTTGAACAGTAGTTTGTCTGCAATATGTAAGATAACCAATTGCCATTTATTACAAGAAATTTAGAACAAGTGAACATTTCAAATGAATAGAACAATAGTTCTATTGTTCAAAATGTAACAGCATTCAAATGTCAGTATGTTTATAATGTAATAAACTACACCTCTGTGAACATTGAGTTACTTCTGAGAAAAACCAAAAGCTCTAGAATCATTTGTTTTCAGGTGACTTGGTTTGTTAATTTATTTTCAATTGTAATAACATTCAGACATTTTCAGTGTGACAAAAGTGTCCAAATACTTTCAGAGGCCACTGTAACAAAGCATTTTATTACCTTGAAACACTAAAAATGCTCTCAGCTCGGTTCATGGTTCTCATGAGCTAGTAATTTCAAAAGAACCGATTCCAATCTTTAAGGACTGCTAGTTGAGAGGTCACATTCTTGAGAACCAAAACTGGCGTCTTGAGAGTCGTCGCTCCCAGTTGGAGATGATGCTTGGTTTCCAATGAAAGTGAAATTCTTCCTCTTTGCTAATAGACTCACTAGGCTTGTCCGATTCAGGTCAATCTTGATTCCCTCACCTGCATTTTCATTGACGTCATTTATATCATCTGTCGATCCATCACTTTCCTCAACCTCTCCATTTTCCTCCGTCTCTGCTTCATTTAGATCGGCTCATCTGTATTTACTTCCTCCACATTATCATTGGCTTCCTCTGCTATCATCTCATCTTCTGTTTTTCCACTAGCTTCACTTCCAGCATCTGTATTAGACTCTATATCCATGACTGTCTCACTTGTATTCTATGTATCTGGATTCTCCTCCTCCTCTCCCGTCATGCTCATCTCAATTACATCATCATTTCCTGTCTGCACGTCTCCCTCTGTCTCATTCATGTCTTCCACAGCGTTATCTGTTTCTCCCTCACTGTTTTGCTCTTCGTTTGACTTCCCTTCTGGCTCTGCATCAGCAGTAGGTGACTCCTGCACGTCTGCAGTCTTTATCTTCCTCTTCTACAGTCTCCTCTGCTGGTTCGTCATGGAGTATAGGCTCATGTAATGGAACAGTCTTTCTCTCGTTACTGTTGAAGCCCCTTGAAGTTGTTTTTGGCTCCAAGGATGTACTTCCCCAGGAAAGAAGATCCACCTGACGGGTCTCCTTTAGGGTTGTCTGAGTGGTCAAACAGGTTTGTTTGAATGTGTTTCATTTCAGTGTGTAGCTGGCCAATCACTTTGCTCAGCTCTGTGATCCTGTTCCCAACGCCTGGAGTCAGTATTTTTCACTGCATGTATAAACTACAGTATGAATATAGTTATATACTCTGCCGTATAAAGGGAACCGGAGCCCAATATAGAAGGGCTCAGCAAACTTCCAAGGGGGCCTCAAGATGACTTGAGGACTACCCCCAGTCTTGAAAAAAGTGGTGTTTAAAGTATCACTTCTAGACCTGGAAATGTCAAGTAAATGAATGAAATTTTACAACTCCATGGGCATTTTTATAATATTTTTGTAGTTACGCCAAGCTTAATAGTGCTTATCCAGTGAATCACGAAAAACTGGAATAGATATGGACCTTTCGAATAAAAGACTAAATACATTATATGTAACCCTTAACATATATAGTACTACATTAATAAGCATTAACTTAAGATGAAAAAAGTGTGTGGTCCTAGGGACAAGATGTATTATTGAAAGAAAAAGTCAATAATATTATTGACATTTAAAATGTCTGCTAAAAGTAAATTTGAACATATATCAGACTAAACTAATCCAATCAGATTTTATGGGGTCTTTAAAGGGATAGTTCACCCAAAAATGAAAATTCTGTCATT